TGTTGTCAACTGTATAAGCCAAATTTGTCAGGAGGGATTGGAACCAATGCAATGTAATAATTTCACAAAGTTTTTGCATGATTGTGTGGAGAAAGAGCTTGGAACTTGTATGGTGGATCAAAAGAACATCAGTGCAGCAGAAATGTCTTCTGTTTATCATGTTATGGCTGAAAATCTACTAGGGGGAAGTTCATATGTAGAAAATGCAACAATTGAAGAAGGGTTATCAATGAATGCTTCCGAGATCTATCTTGATGAGTTCGAGGATTTGATCAATTGGAAGCCCTCTAGCTAGATTGGATTTGCCAGTGATCTGCCGGTGGAGCAAACCAGCTCTGTCTGATCCATATCTCAGGTATAGCAGTCAGATATATAACTGTATATATGATATATCCAACATGGTTTGTTCTGTTTCTTGTATTTGAATGATCTTTGCAGCATCATATCTCATATCCATATCCATATACAAACCAGACAAGGATATCGGATATTAGCTGCAATGATAATGATTTCTTAATGTAGATGCCATTGGTTGCAGGAAGTTGACTGCAGGAGAAGCAGTGGGAGCTAAAAGAAAAATCGACACTTCCATGAATTTCTTGATGATAGCAACAAGAAAGGTTCATACTTCATAGATTTCTATATTTCTCAGTTCCTTTTCATTATGTTCTCTTCTAAAACTACTGCTTTCCCTTAGATTGTGAAAACTTTGAATCATATATAACAATATCTGGTATATATATATATATATCAAATTCCGCTACTTAAAGGTTGAAAATTAAATCATATTATCATAGTGTGTTACATATTTGATGCTTGGCTTACATGCGATTCATGCCATTTGGGTATTTTGTATTACATGTCCCTGTTCCCTTGTTCATTCCTTTCTTTATTCTTCTTCTTGTGATTAGTTTGATGATTGTTCTTTTCATTTTAAAAACCAACCAGCTACTGCTTCTATTAGGGTAAAGTACACATTTAGTACCTAAACTATCACTTTTATTCCATTTTAGTACCTAAACTTTCTTTTGTTTCAAAAGTATATCTAATGTTTATTTTTCGTTTCATTTTAGTACCCCACAATTAAAAATTTAGGTAATAAAATGAAACAAAAAGTTAACGACGGGTATTAAAATGAAACAAAAAGTAAATGTTAGATATGGTTTTATTTTTTTTAAAGTTTAGGTACTAAAACAGAATAAAAGTGATAATTTAGGTACTAAACAAGTAGTTTATCCTTTTTATTTTTGCATCATGCGTAAAAAAAGTTTTTTTATGAAATTTGAACTTAAATTCCAATTTTATACCGTTACCCTTAAACAATTGAAAGTTCATATACAAAATTAAAACATTATTTATTAATAAATATATTTTACTTAAATTAATTATAAAAAATAATATTAACTTGGGGGCTTGATCTCTAAGCAAGTTTAGATTGGATATGTCCATGGTTGGGTCCAATGAAAAAAAATCTTGGTCAAACTTTCTTATCCAAGGATAAAATTTCTGTTCATGTATTATAAAATATTTTAAAGAATAAATAAAGTTGTTAAATTATTTCATTTGAAGTGTGGTCAATATAGTCAAAAATCACAAATTCTCACTTATTCTACTAACAAAACCAAGTTGATAAGCTATTACCAAAACCAAATACAAACAATGTGCAATACCGTATATCCCCTCGAGTTCCTATGGTTAACATCGGCGAGTCCGGGGTCGAGCATCTCGGTTGGGTCTTAGCATCGCAGTAAGCCACAGCGTCGTGAAGTGCATAGGCATCGTTTAAGTTCGTATGACCCCCTTTCAGTAGCATTCGAACTAATTCGACATCATCGGAATCTAATGCCCGATGAATCCGCGGCACATGTTTATTGGGAAAGCCTATGATGTCTAAACCAAGCTCCAGTCGTGTATCAATGATTTGTTTCACAATGCGATGAGGCAAGGCTTTGTTATGTGTTACGATGTCAACAATGGATTTCACAACAGTTTCTAAACACTTTGCCACCAATCTCTCGCAAGCATTACTGCACATGTTTGCAATATAAAGAACAACCAAGATATTATCTATGACGACCTTGTCAATAATGTTTACTCATCATTTTTATTTTAGTTTCATCACTCCTGATCGTCCTCGTGTTCTTCATAGCTGTCGCCACCGTGTTTACATCGTCACTAATTATTCCTTTGACGTCTGGTCTCTTCATTTTTCATCTCTCCTAAATTTCGTAGTCATCCCTTGCAATATCGCAACATCGCCACTCATCTGATGATTCTCTCGAACTCTCATCACAGTTTTACTCATCGTAACTAAGGTTGTAAATGAGACGAGATAGATTGTGAGTTACTCGAGATTGACCCGATCAATGCTCAATAAATACTCGTTCGAATGGACTCGACTCGAGCTTGAGTTCTTAATGAGCTACTCAGTGGTAGATCTAGAAATATTTTTGAGGGTGGACAAACATATGTTTAACCACATAAAATTTTTAAATGGGTGAGTACAAATAAAATTTCTAGATGGACACCGTTAATAAAATAATTAACTGATTGAAGAAAACTCAGATTACAAGATGGGTACAAAAACTTTCAGGGTGGGCACATTTGTAAAATAAATAACTAATTGAAGAAAATTCAGATTTTAGGGTGGTCACGTACCCACTCTCACCAAGCTGTGGCTCCACCACTAAAATTACTTGATGCTCGACTATAAAAGCTCGTGAACAACTCGAAAAAATTATATATTAAATTTTATTTTTTAAAAAATAAATTATTAATAATATTAACACTTATGTGTTTATTTTGAAAAAAATATAGTTGAAGGTTTTCATGTACTTAAGATAGGTTTGAGTTTTAATTTGAGTTTCAACCGAGTTAAGTTAATGAATTTCTTATTTCGAGTTTTTTCGAGTTTCTATTCATAATTTCGAACTAGAGTCAAACTTAGAAATTTAAGCTTATGAATTTTTGAATCAAGTTAAATTTAATAATACTCGAGTTTAACTCGTCTCGTTTGCCGCCGCCCTAATCTTAACCTTACGTCCTCTATCCATTTGCGTCATTGTCACTCTTCTACAAACCAAACACCTTTCGACACCATCTTTTTTGTAATTTTTATCAAATGTTTTCCTTATCCGTCGCTCTCACATCTGCTCGACGTACACTGGCCCCAACTTCCAACTGTTTGTTAAAGTTAGTTTTCAAAATAGAGGAAAAATTTGACACGTGTGCAGTCGAGTTCGGTGATTATAAGATCTGAACGACGCTGTAAGGGGTCGACGAGGAGTGTGTGCTTGGCATGGAGAGATGATGGCGGTAACTCAGTAAACGAATGACGGCGATGTTGGGGAATATCGAAATTTAAAAGAGGGATTTGGAATTTTATGTTTTACTAATTTGATAAGATTTTTAAATATTAAATATTTATGGAGTATTTTTAAATTATGACATATTTGATAAAATGTGTATGTTTTGAAGATTGAAATTATTATTAGACTATGTTGCATCACATTTTTACTAACCAAAATTGAATATATTTTAGCCTAGTTTTGATGTAATAACAATTTTATTGAATGATCACTCAACTATTATTGTTTTAACATAGTTAATTTTGCGTTTTAGTTCTATTTTAATCACCTACTGTTAAAAAATTAACAATGATATTAACATTATATTTTTTAATCATGACGTGACATTATCTTATAATAAAAAATCAACATCATTGTTAAAATTTTAAAGACGAATACCAAAATGTAACATTAAGTGTAATTTAAAGTAAATAATAGTTGAGTGACCAAAACAAAAATTAAATAATCAAGAGGTGACTAAATAAGTAATTTACGTTTTTTTGGGCAATGGCCTAGGCCTAGATACGCCCTGCTGGTCAGGTCAACTCTGATTTTATAAATAATCATTCAGCAATGCATGCGTTTTTGCTATTTCATTTTTTTCCCCATCATAATTGAACTCAACATATTCTTTTACCTAATTATTGTTGGCTACACATTTTCAAATCATTTTATTTTGTATCTTTAAAAAAATGCAAATTTTATTTTAATTCATTAAGTGTTGTGAATAGTAATTTAATTTGGTATCACAGTACAAGTACGGAAAGGTTGTCGTGTACGGCAGAATTAAAGAGTTTCCAAGAATTAAATCACATATTTTTCACGGTTCAAATCTTTTATTAAATCGTCTTTTTTTCCCCTAAATGCCAAGACAAGCCGACTGCTGATCCCACCAACTTTCACTTTTCTTTGCAAACCTCAAATGCTTGTATTTTCCACCCAATTTTCATAAATAGTTGGAAGTCTTCTATTCATTGAAAATTCAATAATTTGATTTTTAGGTATGTTTGGTAATTTAAAATCAAATATATATATATTTTTTTACAATTTTTCAATACAAAAGTTTGGAAATGTTAATAAAGACCTAATTATCATTTGATGCTTAACACTTTTAACATTTTTTTTTATTTTCTTTTAACTATATCATCCTTTAAAATTTATATTTATGAAACAATATAGTCAGATTTTTACATTTAATTTTTAAATGAAATATAAAATTATTAATTCAGTATTTAGTTTTATAACACTTGATTTTTTCAATTTGATAAAAACAAGTATAGCTCAAACTTTTAAGATTGCTAAATACATTAATTGCCAAGTTACCTTATTCGAATTGCATATTAAAGTGACCATATACATATATATCAGAATCTTTTAAATTTCTAACTAATTTGATTAATATAATTAATTAGATATGTAAATAAATTATCTCTTACCGAGTTGCGTAATTTCATCTTTCGAACAAAACCAAAATCTAATAGAAAAAATTCATATCAAATATGAAAATTCAACGTCAAATGTTTCACTCTTCTACCGCGTTCATACCGTCGCTCCCACGCGCTTCCTTAGCGGCATCTCCAACCGCGTTGACTGATATTATATGGCATGGGTATATGTATATATATAAGCCCTCTGTTCTCATATGCAATTTCAAATCATTTTGTGTTCATATTTCGTCAATCAAAATCAAACCGATTACACGTTTCATGGAAATTGGGTCTTTCGCATTTCTTTCAACCGAAGGTTTTTCTTATAACAACGGTGGCACCAGCGACGGCGGCAACTTTTCTTGGTTTCAAGATATGGAAAATGGGTTCAATGGGAATGACAAGAAAAGGGGTAGAAAAGATAGCGAAGAATACTTGGTCAATGGAGCAAAACAAGAGCAGCATCAATGGTTCACTGATTCTAATCAAGAAAGAGCAGTTTCCGAAGCTAATTACAAGGATGAATTTCAAGAAATGAATGATTATTTCGACCAGATTCAAAGCCATTACACTGAAATGAATGAATTGGATGATTCCCGGAACAAACGCGCGCATAAATCCAGCTCCCCTGTTGCTAATACTGCCACAGCAGCGGTGGTTTCAGCTCGTAATTCAGACAATGCGGGACCGTCGCAGTCCGTCGGCGGATCGGGTCACCAGAGGCGATTATGGGTAAAAGATCGATCAAAGGACTGGTGGGATAAATGTAATCACCCGGATTTCTCAGACGAGGGGTTCAAACGCGCGTTTCGGATGAGCAAAGCTACGTTCGACATGATTTGCAAGGAGTTGGAACCCGCGGTGATGAAAAAGAACACGATGCTCCGCGACGCCATCCCGGTTCGTCAACGCGTCGCTGTCTGTATTTGGCGGCTGGCAACCGGCGAGCCGCTTAGGATGGTGTCGAAGCGGTTCGGGCTGGGGATCTCAACTTGCCATAAACTGGTACTGGAGGTCTGCACCGCCATCAGAACCGTCTTATTGCCCAAATTCGTCCAATGGCCCGACGACAACAAGCTGAAGAAAATCAAAGACGAATTCGAATCCGCCACCGGGATACCAAACGTCGGCGGAGCAATCTACACCACCCACCTCCCGATCATCGCACCGAAAGCCAACGCCGCCGCATATTTCAACAAAAAACACACGGAAAGAAGCCAAAAAAACTCGTATTCAATCACGCTTCAAGGAATCGTCGACAAAAACGGCGTCTTCAGCGACGTATGCATCGGGTGGCCGGGTTCGATGTCGGACGAACAAATTCTAGAAAAATCGGCGTTTTATCAGAATGCGACAAAGGGACACGTGAAGGATACATGGTTGGTGGGAAGCAAAGTGTATCCATTAATGGACTGTGTTTTGGTACCTTACAGCCACCAGAATCTAACATGGGCTCAACACGCACTGAATGAGAAAATCGGAGAGATTGAAAAAGTAGGTAAAGAAGCATTCGGGAGATTGAAAGGGAGATGGTCGTGTTTGCAGAAGAGAAGTGAAGTTAAGCTTCAAGAATTGCCGGTTGTTCTTGGAGCTTGCTGCGTTTTGCACAATATTTGTGAGATTAGGAATGAAGGAATGGAAGATGAGCTTAAGTTTGAGGTTTTTGACGATGAAGTCATCCCAGACAATGATCTCCGATCTATGGCTGCCGTACAGGCTAGGGATCAAATAGCTCACAATTTGCTTCACCGTGGCCTTGCTGGCACTGCTTTTCTATAGTACTTTCATTCATGTTTTTGGGGTTAATAAATCATTTTTACCCTTATTTAATTAAACTAATATTTTTATTTATTTAAAATAAATTACATTTAAACAATTTCATTTTCAAAACGTCACATCACAACGTTTAATTAGTTTGTAATTTTTTTTCTAACGAATGTTATCAATTTAAGGTGAAATAGATAATGCTTTAAAATTTCAAAGGTTGTATATTTCAATCTTTTAAGAAACAACACGAGAAAATAAATATAGTTTATAAGAAAAATGTTGATTAAACCATATTTTATTTTAGAAATCATTTTTGAAGTTATAATGATAGGTTGGTTTATTTTGTGATTCCTTTTTTGCTGTGGCGATAGACAACAATTATTGATTGACCTTCTATGCATGGACTTCAGTCTATATATAAATGTAAAATTAGGTGAGCATAGTCAATTCTTTTTCTACATATATTACTATGTAAACGAATCGAACGTTCAACGAATTGTTTATGAATCGTTCGGCAGGAAGTCCGTTTATTTATTAAGTGAACGAACATAAATAAGATTTTATGTTCGTTTAATTAAATGAACGAACACAAACAAAGGGTTTGTTCGTTATTTACGTTTGTGAACGTTGGATAATTCATTTGTTTATGTTCGTTTATATTAATTTGTTTATGTTTGTTTGTTTATTTATATTCATTCTTTTATATTCAATTCAATCTTCATATAACACCACAAATCCCGTGTTAGAAGTTTTGGGCTAACTCGTAAGAATTTTGGTTAAACTTGTCATCCTTATATGAAAGCCTTAGTCCAAGATGATTTGGTTTGGATTTGGGTTTGAGTTAAGCCCAAATAGTAATAAAAATGGTAATTTTGTTTTGGGAGTAAAATTAGAGGGACGAAGAAAGTAATTTACCCATTTTAAGATTCAAAGGTTGAATCTCATTAATGAGGCATAAGAAGGTCACACATTTGCAAAAGGGAAAAGCTATATTCTCTTCTTTTTTTCTTCACCCAAGCTTGTCTTCTACACAGTTGAAAAGGAAAAAACTATCTTCTCTTTTTTTTCTTCACCCAAACTTATCTTCTCCTATTCAAACTCCCCATAGGTTTCCTTTGTATCTTGAGAAAAGATAGCAACTTTGTAGCCTTGCAAACTTAGTATGGAATTATTAAGGTAAGGGTTGTAATTTGCTAATTTAATCTTCCTTTCAAGCCCACAATATCAAGGTTTGGCTATGGTAGCCATAAGTAGGGGTTTAGTGGGGGAATTAGAAACCCTTAGTGAATCAGTTCATTTTGGGTAAATTTAAGCTTTAGAAAGTGTTCTTAACTTCCTTTTAAGCTCTTAAATGTGTTGGTAACTAATTTTCCTTGTTTATGATTAGTGAAAGAAGTTAGTGAGTGCTCTAAGGGCAAGGGCAAAGAAAAACTAGTTCTTGGTTGAGCTTTGAGTCATTCCAACAACTTAGGATTCAAGGTAACACATTTCTAACTCACCTATACCACGTGTATGTTATTATAAGTGCTAGATTAGCTTATATGAGAACATGAAGCATGTGGATGGTGCATCCATGGTAAATTATGATATATGATGTCATACAACATGAAAAATGATTTACTACGACCCCTATCAGCTCATATAAGACTTAAATAACGTTTAAGAGCATTTAAGAGCCTTAGAAAGCCAAATGGATAAAGTTAATATCATTTTCAAGCAAGAACAAATTATTTCTAGGTTTGGGTATCAATATTTGATGAATAATACTAATATTATTCTTTAGAGAGCATTAAAAAAGGGGTTTTGGCTCAATAGTATCAATACCATGTTTATAGGGTATCGATGTTGTTCATTGAAAACTCTCCAAAATAGTTATATTTTTATAACCTTTTTATTTAGGTTAAGTTTGCACTCTAGCAATTTTAGGATCATATTTAGATTTATTTTAGTATATTTTACATCATTTTCATATTGGGAGTGAATTGATGGTACTTAGACTGATTTTGATGTTTTTGCTGCAAAATTGATGTTGTGACATTGTTAATGATGTAGTCGATGCTGAGCACCGATGTTGGATTGGATTGCTGAGATGACTCTACAGCAACAACTGAGTCACCAAGCGGTTGGAGAAAATTTAGAAAGTGATAAGGTGCAGGATAAAGGCTTAAATTTAAATTTTAAAAAAAGAATTATCATAAAAAAATAGATTTTTTCTATTGGTGGAAAGTTTGAATTTAATGGGCTATAAATATAATATTTTCTCAACACTTTTCCCATCTTGGAAATCCCTACCTGCCCTTTATTTTTTTCTCTCATACTATCTCCATGGCCACCTAAACAATTCATCGAGGAGCACTGTCGTGTAGCAGCGACGATCAAGAGGAGTTCTACTATATTATCATCCCTTTGTTGAGATAGGGATGTGACGATTATTTAGTAGAATAATTCTATTATTCTGGATGTTATTTGGTTTTTGAACATAAGGTGTTTGATTAAATGTCTCTTGTTATGTTTTACGTTTAAACTTTGTTTCTATGTGTTGTCGTCCTTATAGGAATATTTAGAAATAAATTTATCTTTTTGTATGTGATTTCTATAGTTTTTAGAAATAAAGTTTATGAATTTTTCATATTATCTTTTGTGCATCATTGGAGTTTGTGAAAAGCAAAGTTAGTATATAGAAATATATGTTGCCAATTGTCTAGCATTATTAACTATTTATCTCCAATCCCAGTTTTTCCACCACTAAAGTTCTTGCAATGTTTGTGTAACTCCCTTCATCAACAATCATAATGCAAACTTTACCATTTACATGGCATCGAGTGTGAAAGATGTTATCTCTTTTTTACTCGTCCTTCATTTTTTTTAATATTCAAAGTTATTTTAACGACAAGAACTCTGCATGAAATAGATGAAATATTAAGAGAATCTTGTGACATAGTTAGTATGATAAAATAATTAAACCTCACTAGCATGATCAAAAAATCCTCACTAAGTCACTCCAAAGAAAGATCAGATGTCACTCCAATCCGCTTGTGTTTGCTTTCGAAAATATATGGCTTTTTCTTTTCCCCTTATGAACTCACATACTCTTTTTTTTCACTCATTCTATCTTGTATAGTTCTTTAAAGAACTAACTCAAGACTTTGTCAAGTTTGTTCAATGGGCGTCGACTAGAAAGATTATTATGGTAGAAAGAAAGAAAGAATATATTGCAAAAGTTGGGTTTAGAATAAAGAAGAAAAGAAAGAAATGGCAACCTACAAAACAAATAATACTTACAACCTCCCTTGAGGAACTCAAAGTTGTCAAACGTTCTTCAGGCTTGGTTGTTATTAATGATGATTTGTTCTCTTTCACCCTTGTATGTGTTCTCAAACCTTTCTTCTCTGTTTTTAAATTTCTTTTGATGATGATGGAATCCTTGATTTTTTTTGTTGTTTTTCTTTTCTTTTTGTTTTTCCTCTTTTTCTTTTGTTTTTCTTCTTTTGGCACTGAATGAACTCACAAAGGTAGGCACTCTGTAACACCCCCAACCCGTATCTGACTCGGATACGAATCTGAGGTGTCACATTGACTAGTCAAAACATATATTTTTATAAAAACCATAGAAAATTTAAAACATCCATTCTATAAGGTTATTATTCTACATAACATTGTTTAAAACATGATCAAACTCAATCAGAGCTTACATACTTAATACTTTGTTACATGCGAACATACTAATTTACATAACAAAACATACTTTACAAAATATTTCTAATCCGATCTTTTAGTGGAGATATACTGCTTTAATGATCCGAAGCTTGATCTTTTGACTTATCCACACCTACGTGTAAGACATTTACACACTATGTCATAGACTTAGTGAGACATGAAATACATATTGGAAGTATAACTAATTACAACTGCATGTCCGTATTATTTAATACAATGCTGGTTTCCATACATAATCATCATCAATATACTTATCATTTCTATATACTCAACAATGTATAAACATTTCATAATTCATATCAAAATATAATACAAACATCATGTACTAATTCATATAACCAAATATATACATGCACACATAGCATCATATTCTAGTCACATTATCTCTACCATTAATCCATTTAGAACATATACTTTAATCTTAAATTGTGGGATTATTTCCTAATATATCTTTCACACATAACACATATAATATCATACAAGATATCCTTATGTTATTTCTTTGTTTAGCCCATGTATACTTTTGAGAACTTAAGATATGTGAGTACATAGAGGTTGTGCACAATGCTATCACCACAGCTCGTATAAATCCCACTAGGGGCACATAGAAATTTGTCCCGAATGACCACTATGTCCCGAAGGATCATTGTCCCGAAGGACCACATAAAACACATATGTCCCGAAGGACCATGTAGAACCCTTGACTCTTGGCATGCCAACTATACCTATAGCTCTCAGAACACATGACATGGGCATTATCTTTTATACTATTTCATATCTTCACATAAGCACATAATTTACTTTCACATAGCATATTTCCATGTAATTCACATTCACATATCATATAGGTTTTCACATTTTCTTGTATTCTTTTTCACATAGCTCATATTCATATGTCTTATCTCATAACATATAGATGTTCTCATACATAATTCATATAATTTCTTATACCATCACATAATTCTATTATAACCTTTAACATAGCTTATTACATTGACATATATTCACATAACTCCTTTAAAATACATAGCATATCATGTAACATTCTAATAGAAACACATATAAGTCATATCACTTTCACGTATCTTTTATCATTTATTCTATCTCTTATGATCACCTAACATATTATCATGCATACATGCATTTACATGGTTCACATATATGGATGCACTTAACAATTATACATATGCATTTACTCATATACATCTAGCATCATATCCCTACATGATTATGCTTCGTACTTATAGACATCATATCACACCATGCTTGTATTCTTGTACTTATGTCATCTATTATCGGAATTAGACTCATCG